CGAGCGGGCTGCGAAGCGGGCAGCGGGGCGAGCGGGCGACGCTGCGAGCAGGCAGCGCGGCGGGCGAGGGGCGAGCGGGCAGCGTGGCGGACGGGCGACGCTGCGAGCGGGCGGCTCGGCGGGCGGGCGACGCTGCGAGGGGCGCGCGAGGGCGCTAGCGAGGGGCGCGCGAGGGCGCTAGCAAGGGGCGCGCGAGGGCGCTAATGAGGGGCGCGCGAGGGCGCTAACGAGGATGCGTGAGGGCGCTAACGAGGGGCGCGCGAGGGCGCTAACGAGGGGCGCGCGAGGGCGCTAACGAGGGCGCACGAGGGCGCTACGAGGCTAGGGCACGGGGTAGCGTGGTAACCGCATGCGAGCGGGGCGGGCCCTTAAAAAAAAACGGTCGGTAGGTCCTAGGGACCTCCTGCTCTGAATACCATTTCAGAATAACTAGGCAAGAATGAATGAACTAGCAGAAGTTTGGGTACAAATATGAAACCCTAGTTGGGGTTGTACCCCATATTGGCTACCCCACTACAGCCTACCAACATATAACACATTACAATTTAACACACTCGGCTCAACAGGGGCAGCAATGGATCCCGACATCTGCTCAAAACGCGAAGCGTCATCTTTGGAAACGTTGTGCAGGTACAGGTGTAGGTATAGGAGCCAGGACTCGTACTCAATGAGGCAGCCCTCTTCGTCAAAGGTGAGTATAGTAGGCATTGCCATAGTAGGCAACGCCAGTCAGTAGCAGTGGCGGAAGGGCAACAGCAGAAGTGGTGACAGCGGCGGCAGCAGTAGCAGTGGCGGCAACAGTTATAGAGGCAGTTGAAGTGGTAGCAGCGGCAGGGGCGGCGGCTGCAGTGGTAAGTGTAGCGACAGCGGCGGCGGCCAATGCAGCGATAGCGGCATTGGCAGCTGTAGTGGTAGTGGATGGCTGTAGTGGTAGCGGCAGCTGCTGTAGCGGCAGCAGTGACGGCAGCGTCAGCTGTAGTGGCAGCGGAAGTTGTAGCAGGAGCAGCTGTAGTGGGAGCAGCGCTGCGGCTGCTGTAGCAGTAGTTGCGGCTTCAGCGGCAGCTGTAGCAGCGGTTGCAGCGACTGTGACTGTAGCGAAAGCAGCAGGGCACGCACGCAGGGCCGCAGGCGTGCGTCGCGCAAGGCAGCTGTGCGCGGGGCAGCGCGGGGCGAGGGGCGCACGTCGAGCTGGGCAGTAGGGCGGCGCGTTGGGCAGCGGGGTATGAGTCGCGCAGGGCAGAACAGGGCAGCGCGCGCGAGTGAAATGCGGGGCGCGCACAGGAGTGCGAGGCGCGCAAGAAGCAGCACGCTAGAGGCAGCCTGGGTAGCGTGGGATTGTACGGGGCAGTAAGTGAAGTAGTAGGTACGGTAGTAGGTATGGCGATCAGACCTAACCTAGTCTCGGATACCATGTTAAGAATGGAAGAAACACGAATGGACGTGACTAGTGACAATGAAATATACGTAGGAAACCCCAAATGTGCTGTATTCTAATTTGTGTACCTCCCTGCAGCCTCAGAAACCTAACAACAATAAATGTGTAATGATACAAGTTTATATGTAGCGAGGGACCCAAGCTAGGCGATAAATTGCAAGTTTAGGTCGCAAAGATCTAGGTACGATTCCATTGAGTCAGTCATCCGTGGCGAGGTATTCGAGCCAAGCCTGTAGTCCCAACGACGGGGCTTTACGTGGCTTTTGTTTTCATTGTTTTTTTTTTTTCTTCAGAACCGATAGTCCCTTGTTTGCAATCGGATTGAATAATATAGAAGAAACAAATTCAGGCGGTTTGTTGGTGTGGGTAGTTGCTGGTGATGGTGACAATTGCTGTCGATTGTCCACCGCACCGACCACGAGATTGCTGGAATTGGCGTGTGGAATTCGTGCGCTTCCTGAAGTAGATGAGGCCACGTGGACGGCAATGAGAGGCACAAAATGGTTCAAATCGCACGTTGAAACTTGTGGAACGCGAACTTGTCCAATGGCGCAAAGCACGTCGGTGACTCACGGAATGTGTACTGTAGATGAATTCCACGCATCTATCCCCGTCCAAGTCGTCGGATGTTTCTGCGAAGCCCCTATAGGAGCAATCCTCCAGCTGCCCCACATCAGCCTCGTTTGCTGGTCGCTGTGCCATAGCTTTTAGCAGAAGCGCGCCCCGGCCAGGCTCGGTTCCGCGTGCCCCAAAAGATGACATATAAGTGATCGGTGTGAAGGTGCGAAGAACGGTGTAGTTTCTAACGGCTTGGTGAAATCTCGAGTAACGAAACCGCGAATTCGGTGAAATCGCGACGCGGATCGGGAGTTACCAAGCCATCCCTCCCTTCACAACCCTCCCCCCACCAGCTTCGACCGCACTCACATCCCAACTCAACCCGCGAACAATACCCAACCAAAATCGTATATAGGCCGCCATAATTTTCAGCATTTCTCATTCCACTCACCAACGTTCTCACCAACTCACACACACCACCACCACCATCTTCGCCCCTCGCATCCATCTCGCCTCGCTTTCATCATCATGGCCCGCTTTTCATTCCTCGCAACTTCGCTCGCGGTTCTGATCCTTGCAATGGCTAGCAGCGCATTCAGCGCGCGACACTACGGCGCGGCGACCGTTAAGCCCACTGCCGTAGCCGCCTGCACCGCGTCGGCTCTGGGGGCTCCATACGCCAAATCCGTCAAGCTCACAACTGACGGGTACGTGACTGTTTCTGAATAGTGTCGTTTTCCGTCTAAAAATCATATCGCTTTCACAGCGCTTCGGGTTAGTCAGCTGCATTCACTTTTTGGCACGGTTACACATTCTCTCACGCTTCCCTGACGAAATTCTATTCTCCCGTCACCCTTCCACCGCTTATTACAGCCTTTTTCTCCTGCACTGGAACATCACCGCGAAGAAGGACGGAATCATCGCCGCGATCGAGGCGAAGTCCGGCAGCGGCGCGGAGACGGGATGGTTTTCTGTTGGCTGGACGAAGAAAGCCGGCCTCATGGCTCCCGCCGACGCCGTCGTCGGAAATCTCGCGGCTGCCGCGCCGAACAACGTGCTGGCTTACGCGATGACGGGCAAGACTGTGGCCAAGGTCAAGAAGACAACCGCAGTGAAGCTGTCCGCGAAATCCGTGGTCACCGCTTCTGACGGTGGCAAGATCGTAAAGTGAGTTTCGTCTGTTCCCACTGAGCGAAAACCTTACACAGCGAGTCGTACGCCATCATGCCCGTTCTTGCACCTCCGAGGTTGTTTTCAGTTCCGTTTATGTGGCGTTTGGAGAAGTACTTAACCCGTGCGTTTGATTTCATTTCAGGTTCACCCGTATGGGCAAGGGCGGTCTGGGTCCTGTCAACTACGTCGGTAACAACAACATGATTTGGGCCTACTCCAGCACCCAGGCTTTCACCTCCCACTCCAACCGGTAACATCTCAAACCCTTGGCGCCAGAAAACCTGCGTCTTCTGTTCTTACAATATAGATGGTTTCTTCACGTTTGTTACTTGTTCTTGACGCTTGCCTGATTCCCTGCCATATTTTCTCTCCAGGGGTAGCATCGTTGTCAACCTCGCATGCAAGGTGTAATGGCGCCGCGCTGTGCCTCATCCCTGAGTACTATAGTAGTTGGTAGCAAGAGACGGCGTTATGTAGCGCCGCATCGAGAATCAGCACCAAGGGTGTGACACAGCTGCCGTTGACGCCATTGGGTTTAGCAAGAGTGTGGCCCTTGTTGCTGATTGTTGATGAAAGTGTATTGAGAAATACATTTTGACAAATACATTTTGACAAGTGTAATCTTTGCGTACTGCGAACGATCCGCGCACTGAAGCTCAAGCCCGTCGCGCGTACGTGGCGCCCCCTAGCAATTGCTGCTTCAGTGAACGTTCAGCAAATTCGTCACGAAATCGCAAGCAAGCCAAGAAGCGAGCGTAATGAAGCGAGGGGAACCCGCGCACACGATCTGCGGAACGTGAAGTACAATGTACAACTAGATAATAGCATCTAAATCAATTCACACGTGCGCTGATGCTTCCTAGCGCACAATAACGTATCAACAGGCGAGATGAAGCAGCTGCGCGGCACGTAAACTTCTTTATTCGAGGATCTAAATCATGCCCGTTATACTTGGCATATGTGGCTCATTTGCCTCGTCCAGGCGTCGCTCACAGCACGAATCCACTCCCAAGGCTCGAGGTAATAAGGCACGATGGACAAGATCCGACGCTGTGAGTTCGACAAGCCCACCAGAGAAAAAAAAGCATAAGACTGAGGTAACGGGAGAGATGTGAGGTGAGAGCGTTTATGTAGGGGTTAGGGACGAGGGGTCGGGGAGAGGGGTGGGCTTGGACGTGGGAAGTGAGGGGTGAGTGTGGGAAGGCGGGCGGGAGAGGAGGGGAGATGGTTGAAGGGAAGCGGAGGGGAAGGTTGAAGGGCAGCGGAGGGGAAGGTTGAAGGGCAGCGGAGGGGATGGAATGTGGCGGAAATACAGGGGAAAGTGAGTGAGCAGGGTGTTCTGCTGCTTTTACGCCAATTATTCTAGACATTGAGGTATTTATTTGTATCAAAACATCAAGCTGACAATATAGTTCACATACGCCCTGCAAGCTTCAAACGAATTCTACGGCGAGCAGCGAGCCGCTACGGTGTGTCAGAAGCTTACAAGGTCGTGTTTCGGCAGGTTTCGGAGTAAATTGGCACAGATGTCGCCCCCCGACTGGTCCAAATCACACATCGTAGAAAGGCTCGTTATGAGATCAAGTTCAGAATCCGGGTCGATCCGGAACTTGTGAGAATGGGTTCTCAGAAGCAGGCAGACGAAATTGTGGAGCTTCAAAATTGTTTTTCCCGCCAAAGCACTCCGCGCTGTGCATGACATTGCACCCAAATGTGTCAGAAATGCGCAGGCACATTCCGTATGGTATTTCTCCAGCTGTTCTAGCTACTGCTTAGCTTGATAAGCAATCAAGAAAATCCTAGTTAGGCCACGTGGGCTTCTCGCCGGGACGCCATGAAAGGAGGCGGGTGGAGCAAAGGGACGCGCGGCGTGCGAGGAACGGATCAGCAGCACCAGTATCAGCAACCCGTGGCAACAGGACGCTCGGCGTACGAGTCAATGGACATGCCCAATATGGGTATGGAGAGCCGCGATTACGGGCAGGAGGCAGCAGCGTGGGCGGATGAGAACGGTAACGAGGATTACGGACCGGTCGGAGTGAAAAAGAGCCGAGTATCATCCAACATGGGAAGCTCCACGTGGGAGATGAACCGCCAAGAGGTGAAACGTAGTCGTACGGGCGAGGAAACGCCGTACGACGCGCAAGGCCGCTCCGCGATTCCGGATTTGCAGAGCCGATCGAAGCCGGTGGCGGGGGCGAAGCGGGAGAGCGGCTTTTACGACAGCGGCGAGTGGAGTAACGGCGTGCTGGGCGACAGGAACCCTAACTTCGCGAACGTCGCGAACGTCGCGAGCGTCGGTAACAGTCGCCAAGTGGAGGTTAACGACGTGGACGAGGAGGAAGACGAGGAGGCGGAGGAAGACGACGATTTGGCAGCCGAGCCGTTCTTAGATCATTCCTTAGAGTTCGCACCTAGCGTGCTGTCGTCTATGGTCAAAGGCGACGCGGGAGACGCTACTAATAACGATCGCGCAAATCTCGGCGGAATTGACGACTGGGAGCAGGAGGAGCGGGAACGCGCACGGAAGTGGGAGCGGAGCGGGAGCGAGAGCGGGACGAGGAGGAAGAGGAGGAGGCGGATGAGGCGGTGTTGAGAGCGGTGGGGGGGCCTGGTCCGCATCGCGACAGCTACAGCCCGAAGGACAGTCAACGCTACAGTCAACGCGGCAGTCAACGGAATAGTGTACGAGACAGCCAGAGCTACAGCCGAAGTAACGGTGTCAGCTACAACCGAAGCAACGATCCCAGCTACAGCCGGAACTACAGCCACGGGCAGGCACAGCGACAGGACAGCGACAGTCTTGCGAGTCGCGGCGACGTCAGCACGACCCCTAGCGCGCCGCCCTTTTCCGCCATGAGCGCTGGCGGCCCGCCCGCGCGCGCCGCGCCCGGCGCGCCCACCCGCGCGGCGCCGCAGCCGCAGCGGCCAGACGCGGGCGGAAGCGGGGAGCGGGAAAGCGCGGAATCGCCGGGATGAGCAGCGGAAGGTGGAGCGGCGGGGGGCGGTCCGCGGTGGGGCTGGGCCGGGAAAGCGCGCTGCGCCTGAGCACCGTGCGGGAGGAGTCGGGCGCGACGACGGACTCGCCGTCGCAGGCGTCGCAGAGGTGAATCGCGCAGGTCGCATGTTCGCGAGTCTGTCGCGTAAATTGGTTTGGATTGGAAGATGGTAATTGCGATCCGATATGCGGGTTGCAGAGACGTGCGGTATAACGCGTACGTGGCATGATGTTGATGTGGGATAACGAATATATATGCGATTTACGAACGGGGTAAAAACCGTGCTGCAGGTAGCATACGAACGCAGCATAACGGGTGTGTGGTTTGGAAACGCGGTGACTACTTGGGCGGCTGTAGCACGGGGTGTTGTTGCGGCTGTTGCATGGGATACTTTGGCGGCTGTAGCACGGGGTGCTTTGGCGGCTGTAGCACGGGTGCTTTGGCGGCTGTAGCACGGGGTGCTTTGGCGGCTGTAGCACGGGGTGCTTGGGCTGCTGTAGCACGGGGTGTGGTGGCGGCTGTAGCACGGGGTGCTTGGGCGGCTGTAGCACGGGGTGTTGTGGCGGCTGTAGCACGGGGTGCTTTGGCGGCTGTAGCACGGGGTGCTTTTGCGGCTGTAGCACGGGGTGCTTTGGCGGCTGTAGCACGGGGTGCTTTGGCGGCTGTAGCAGGGGGTGCTATGGCGGCTGTAGCAGGGGGTGCTTTGGCGGCTGTAGCACGGGGTGCTTTGGCGGCTGTAGCACGGGGTGCTTTGGCGGCTGTAGCACGGGGTGCTTTGGCGGCTGTAGCACGGGGTGCTGAGGTTAGTCCCCCGCCCGTCACAGTGGAGTGTTCGTGCGTCCCTCCTCTCCCCCCTCCCTCCCTCCCGCCACTACGCCCCATCGCACCAGCGAGCATTTGCTTCACAGGGCAATCCCCCTTTTCCTCCCGCCCCTGCCATATTCCCCGTCCCCATTTCACTGCAGGGCGGAGCGTGCAGGGGCAACACGCCTCTGTCTCCCCACACCCCCACCACGCCCCATCGCTTCACCATACCTTCCTTCACGCTTCCCTCCGTTCCCCCTCCCCCGCCTCCCCATGCGCCCTTCCCAGCAGGCCAGAGCGCGCAGGGGGAGACACACTCCCCACACCCCCATCTCGCCCATCGCTTCACCAGGCCTTCCCTCCCCTTTTCCCCCTTCCCCCGCAACCTATGCGCCCTTCCTAGCAGGGCGGAGCGCGCTGGGGTAGACGCGCCTATGTCTCCCCACACCCCCACCACGCCCCATCGCACCATGGGACACACCCAACCGCCTGCTATCGAGCCCATCCAACTCGCCAGGTATGGCTGCTGGTTACCAAACAGCCCAACATGGTAACCACACTGTTAATGAGGCGATTCGGAACAGGCCTTTTTGTCTCCCCAGACCCCCACCGCGCCCCATCGCACCACGGGGCACTCTCACCCGCCTGCGATTGAGCCCATCCAACTTGCCAGGTACGGTTACTGGTTACCACACCTGGTAACCACACTGTTGATGAGGCGACTCAGACAGAGGCCTTTATGTCTCCCCACACCCCCACCGTGCCCCATCGCACCACACCCCATCGCACCACACCCCATCGCACCACACCCCATCGCACCACGGGGCACACTCAACCGCCTGCAGTCGAACCCATCCAACTCGCCAGGTATGGTTACTGGTTACCACACAGCCGAGTAACCACACTGTAAACGAGGCGACTCAGGACAAACCTTCTTGTCTTCCCATACCCCCACCACACCACACTGCATCGCACCATGGGGCACTCCCACCCTCCTGTTGTCGAGCCCATGCAACTCGCCAGGTACGGTTACTGGTTACTGCATGGCCTGTGGTGTGGTAACTACACTTGCCGGACATGGTAACTAGCCGTACTGCCTGACGTGGTAACTGCACTGCCTGACGTGGTAACTGCACTGCCTGACGTGGTAACTGCACTGCCTGACATGGTAACCACAGCGCCAGACATGGTAACCCCACTGCCCCATGTCCTATTCCCCATGCCTCATGCCCCATATCCCATACCCCATGCTCCTTGCTTGCTCCAATGCAGTGCGGAAGAGCGGTGGAGTGCGACAGTGGCATACGATGCATGTGTGCGCATGTGCATGGACGAGGCATCCAAGGGGGCATCCCCCACGCCCACCTCACTCCGTGCTTTATGCCTCATGTAATCTCCATGCCCCATGCCTCATTGCAGTGCGGAGGAGAGGTGGAGTGCGACAGTGGCGTACGATGCATGTGTGCGCATGTGCATGGACGAAGCATCCAAGGGGTCTCCCCACGCCCATTTCTTCCTCCAAGACGCTGCCTGCGCCTCACTTCGCACGTTCTTCGGGTGAGTGTCCTAGTGTTTGGGGACACCTCTAATCTGCCATGAATTCTCATTTCACTGTTATTCGCCGCTTGAATTCAAGTGCCAGAAGTGAAAGGAATCTTCCGTCCCTTCCCGCGCACCTCCCCCAGACTCCAGCCACTCATGCTGGTGCCTGTGAGTGCTCGAAACGCAGCAGACGCCAGTGACAGGCAGGGCGGAGGAGGAGGAGGAGGAGGAGGAGGAGGGGGAGGAGGGGGAGGGGGGAGAAACGGAGATGAGGGCACATCCCCTCTGCATGGGTTCTCCAGCTCTCCTCTCTCTCCGTATGGCCACTCGTCTGCTCGAAAGAGGCACCGCGGCATTGGCACACTCAAGCTGCAAGGTGGGTCACAGTGTGACTGTCACAGTGACTCACACTGACTCACTGTGCTCCCTGCGTCGTAGGCATGAGTTCGTCCCCCTCTGCATGGGTTCTCCACTCTCTCTCTCTCTCTCCGTATGGCCATTCGTCTGCTCGAAAGAGGCACCGCGGCATTGGCACACTCAAGCTGCAAGGTGGGTCGCTGCCTGGGTCTCATTGACTTTGTCTTTCACGTCTAATCTTGACCTCACACCCCCCATCTCTCCTTGACCTCACACCCCCCATCTCATCCCCCCCCTTCCCACACCGATCCCCATCTCTCCTCCCTTCCACACCTCCCATCTTCCCCTCTCTTCTCTTCACACCTTCTGTCTTCCTACCTCTGTTCAATGTCCTTCTTTTCTGCCTTTCCCACCCGATCTCTCCCTAACCTTCCCACCCCCAATTTTATGCAAATACCTCCCGAGATTCCCCCCAGTGCGCCTTTGAGTCGACTCAAAAGTCACCTCTTCCTAATCTTCCCACGATAATCCCCCATCCTCTGCAAATACCCCCCAAAAATGCCCCCCAGTGCGCAAGGTGCGCATGACAAGCAAGGGGGTCGAGGGGAGATGGGGGGACGGGTTTTGAGTCGACTCAAAAGCGCACTCCCTTAATCTCCTCCCATTTCTCCACCAATCCCCCACCCCCAGTCCGCAAGGTGCGCATGACAAGCAAGGGGGACGAGGGGAAGGGGATGGGCGGGGCGCAGGGGGAAGGCGAGAACCAGGGAGGCGCAGGGGGGCAGCAGCGGGGGGAACAGGCGGAACAGGGGGAGCGGGGGGAGCAGTGAGCAGCATGATGCGGCAGATCAAGGGGGGCATGGCCAACCTCAGAGGGCTGGCTGCTGAAGCCACCACTGCTGCTCCAGGTGATTCCTCTGTTGCTTCAGGTGCTTTGTCTGTGGCGTCAGGGGATCATTCTGTTGCTTCACGTAATTCTTCTGGTGCTTGTGGTGACGTTTTTTTTTGCACACCGCATCACACCGCTTCACACCACTGTTTGCCTTGTTCCTCTTCCCCTTACATTCTCCTCTGCCTATTCCTCCCTGCGTTCATTCTCTTGCTGCTGTCAGAGGGAGTGCTGGTGGCCGTGCGATGCCCATCAGAGGAGGCAGGTGAAGCACGGAGAGTCAACCCCAACACCCACCACTGCATTAACCTGTAAGCCATGCTGCTCACACCTCCTAGACATACCCTCAAGTGTTATGCGTTGTTTTGAGACGTCTCAGAACACTAATTTTAGCACGGAGGGTCAACCCCAACACCCACCACTGCATCAACCTGTAAGTCGTGCTGCACACACCTCCAAGATACATCCACAACACACAAAACCAACACACACACCCACCGTGCATTATTGTGTAAGCCTCGCTGCACACAGCACAATCCTAACACACAGCACTACCCTGTGAGACCAGAGCACCGAATTTATGTCTCCTCGTTGTGGCGACTGTTGAGTTGACAGGAGGTGGTGGTGGTTTAAGTGCATGAGCGCAGTGGGTGCAGGGAGGCAGGCAGGTAACATACCTTGCACCTGTGTCCCACACTTATGCTCCTTTGTCCCACTCCACCGTTCTCACCCCTCTCTTCCATTCAGACCTGTGGAGAGCGATCGACAGGAGGTGGTGGTGGAGGTGCAGGATGGCAGTGGGTTAAGAGGACAGGCTACCGTGGCTGCAGCCCAGTCACCTCACCCCTGCTGCACTCTTCCTCTCTTTCCTCTCCCCCGTCTGTTCCATTCAGACCTGTGGAGAGCGATCGACAGGAGGTGGTGGTGGAGGTGCAGGATGGCAGTGGGTTAAGAGGACAGGCTACTGTGGCTGCAGCCCAGTCACCCCACGCGTTACCGCACTCTTCCTCTCTGCCCTCTATCCCCTCTCTCTCCTCTCTTCCATTCAGTCCCGTGGAGAGCGATCGACAGGAGGTGGTGGTGGAGGTGCAGGATGGCAGTGTGTTAAGAGGACAGGCGTCAGTGGCTGCTGCTGTGTCTCGTTTCCCTCTCCCCTCCTTCGTTACCATTCCTTCATCCCACTCCCCCTTCTCTCCCTTCTCCTCCCTCACGAGCAGACCTGTGGAGAGCGATCGACAGGAGGTGGTGGTGGAGGTGCATGATCGCAGTGGGTTAAGAGGACAGGCGTCAGTGGCTGCTGCTACGCTCATGGACGAAGGGGTGAGTGATAAGGAGTGCTGGGGTGAGCGATAAGGAGTGCTGGGGTGAGCGATAAGGAGTGCTGGGGTGAGCGATAAGGGGTGCTGGGGTGAGGGATAAGGAGTGCTGGGGTGAGCGATAAGGAGTGCTGGGGTGTTTGGCGAGAAATGGGATGGATTTATTGCAAGGACTTGATGGGTAAATGGGCGAGTGGTGATCGCTGTGGGTTAAGGGGCAGGCCTCGGTGCCTGCAGCTATGCTCATGGAGGAAGGGGTGAGTTCAAAGGGGTGAACTGGAGGGAGTGATAAGGTGTGAAGGGGGGAGTGCTTAAGGGTGGACGGGTGAATGATTGGCTCTAAGGGGTGAGTGGTAAGGAGTTGATGGGTGAAATGTCAAGGGTGAATGGGTGGGTGGCAAGGGCAAGTAGTAAATGAGTGACTGATTAATGAGAAGTGTGGCCGTCTCACCACTGCTCTTGTCTGTTACTGAAACCAACACTTTTCAAGAACCTGCCGCTTCTCTCTTCCCTCCCACCCCGCTCCAACCCCTCCCTCCTTCTTCCCCTCTTCTTTGTCCCTCTCCCCCCGCGGCACCCCCTACTCTCTCAGCACCCTACTTCACTCTACTCTAGTACCCTCTCACCACCCAGGCAATTTTTGAGGCGCCTCAAAATCTAATCTGTCCCTCTCCCCTCGCTGCACCTTCTACTCTACTACCCTCTGCACCCCGGCACCCACGTGTCGCTGTCGCCCTCTCCCTTAATTTCATACCCCCCTTCACCCATCACCCCCTCCCCTCCCCCGTTCCCCCTGCCGGCTGCTGCACTCTACCCTCAGTCCCAGGTGCCCACGTGTCACTGTCGCCCTCTTCCCTCATTTCCCCCTCCCCCCTCCCCCCCCCCCCTCCCCCCTCCCCCCTCCCCCCTCCCCGCTCCCCCTCCCCCTTCCCCGCTCCCCCCTCCCCCCCTTCCGCTGTCGCACTCTACCCTTCAGCACCCGGGTGCCCACGTGTCACTGTCGCAGCGCTGCCATTGATTTCCCTTTTCCCCTTCCTCCCTTCAACCGACCATTGATTGGCACCCTCCTCCCTCCCCCCCCCCCTCCTGTCGCAGCGCTGCCATTGATTTCTCCCCTTCCTCCCTTCAACCGCACTACCCCACCCTCCCTTCAACCGCACTACCCCACCCTCCCTTCAACCGCACTACCCCACCCACCTTCCTCCCCCCCCTCCTGTCGCCCTTTGTTCTCTCAGCACCCAGGTGCCCACGTGTCACTGTCGCAGCGCTGCCATTGGCTGGCAGTGAGGGACACGTGTCAGCAGGAGGTGGCTCGCGTGCAGCTCGCCGTGTCGCTGGTGCCCTGTGCCAGGGACTATGGCACGCAGGTGCGTGGCGGGGTGTTGAATTGTGTGTGAAGGGGTGAGGGGGTGCAGGAGGGTTGCGTCTCGTTCAACTCAAGCATGAGCAGGAGGTGGCTTGCGTGCAGCTCGCCGTGTCGCTCGTGCCCTGTGCCCGGGACTACGGCACGCAGGTGTGTAATGCGGTGTGCGGGTGTGAGAGGGGATGTGTTGGTGTTGTGGATGTGCTGTGTCTCTCGTGCCCTGCGCCAGGGACTACGGCACACAGGTGCGGTGGGTGTGTGAGAGTGGGTGACGGTGTGTGTTGGTGTGTGTTGGTATGTGAGGGTGCGTGAGAGTGTGAGTGTGTGAGAGTGTGTGAGGGTGTGTGAGAGTGAGTGAGAGTGTGTGAGGGTTTGTGAGGGATTGTGCGATCGTGTTTGTCGAGGGGTGTTTTCTGATGCGTTCGTTAAAAATATAAACCATGTCAAGCGATCACTGCAAGCATGTGAAGTTAAAAGAAATACTTAAATAACAACCTTTTTTGGGCAGAGATTATGTACATTCCTATCCACCACACTGCTTCTTTCTCCTTTTCACGTCCCCTTCCCCCCCACAACCAGTGCTAGCCTTTTAACAACCATTTCCCTTCATGCTGCAGTTTCCTCCTCCCCTCTCTTCCACCTCCCCCACCACCAGTGCCAGCCAATCTCCGAGTCAGCAGCATACAACTGGGTGCTCACAGCGGCCATGGCAGCCCAGGGCTTCCGTGCTCGCTTCCACTCTCGCACACCCAAATCCGCTGGACTCACTTGCTTTCCCTTCTCTCTGTGTCACCTTCATCTCTTCACCACCACCAGTGTCAGCCAATCACGGAGTCAGCGGCATACGACTGGGTGCTAGTAGCAGCCATGGCAGCTCAGGCTCCCTCGCACGCAACCTCTCTCAATCCGTTTAAGTCGCCTGCTCGCCTCCCGCTCTCTTTCACCCCTATTCATCCCACCACCAGTGCCAACCAATCACGGAGTCAGCAGCGTACGACTGGGTGCTCGCAGCGGCCATGGCAGCTCAGGGCTTCCACACTCGCACCCCCAAATCCACTGGACTCATTTACTTTCCCTCCTCTCCCTGTTTCCCTCATCTCTTCACCACCACCAGTGCCAGCCCATTTCAGAATCAGCAGCGTACGACTGGGTGCTAGCAGCAGCCATGGTAGCGCAGGGCTTCCATGCGCACACCTTTCAATACACCACCTCGTCATCCATTCATGCCCACTGATTCCTTCTCACCTCCATTTTCCCACCTCCCCACCACCAGTGCCAACCAATCTCCGAGTCAGCAGCATACGACTGGGTGCTAGCAGCAGCCATGGCAGCTCAGGGCTTCCACGCGCGCAACCTCCGCCTCTCCGGCCCCTGGGAGTGGCTGTGCGATCAATTTGCTACGTGCTATGGCGTCTCCCCACACTACACCAAGCTCAGGTGCGCTTAGCTCAGAGTCCGCCAAGCTCAGGCAAATCGCTTTTCCCCCCGAAGAAAAGCTTTTATTCAATCTCCGATTCTCGGGCCCCTGGGAGTGGCTGTGCGGCCAGTTTGCTATCTGCTATGGGGCCTCCCCACACTGCACAAAACTCAGGTGCGGTTTTCTTTTGAAGCACCTCTCAAGCTCGGAGGCAAGCTGGTGGCTCAGGTGAGGGTTTTCGCTTGGTGTTTCTCTTGTGTGCCTCCCTTGCTCAACACCGAGAGAAACACCTCATGCACGCAACCTCTGCCTCTGCACCCCTGGGAGTGGCTGTGCGACCAGCTTGCTACCTGCTATGGGGTTTCTCCACACTACACAAAACTCAGGTGCGCTTAGCTCAGAATCCGCCTCTCAGGCCACTGGGATTGGCTGTGCAATCAGTTTGCTATCTGCTATGGGGTCTCACCACACTACACCAAGCTCAGGTAAGTTCCTCTACAAACTTACGCCTTTCAGACTCTTACAGGAACAAGAGGAGCTCTTACAAACCTCCGCCTTTCAGGCCCCTGGGGGAGTGGCTGTGCAATCAGTTCTTTACGAGGCTCAGGTGACTTCCTCTTTGCCCTCAGAAAAGAGGGCTTTTACTCTATCTCGCCTCTCAGCCTTCTGGGAGTCGCACTGCGATCAGTTCGCCTCCCGCTATGGTGTGTCACCGCACCGCACTGCGATCAGTTCGCCTCCCGCTATGGTGTGTCACCGCACCGCACTGCGATCAGTTCGCCTCCCGCTATGGTGTGTCACCGCACCGCACTGCGATCAGTTCGCCTCCCGCTATGGTGTGTCACCGCACCGCACTGCGATCAGTTCGCCTCCCGCTATGGTGTGTCACCGCACCGCACTGCGATCAGTTCGCCTCCCGCTATGGTGTGTCACCGCACCGCACTGCGATCAGTTCGCCTCCCGCTATGGTGTGTCACCGCACCGCACTGCGATCAGTTCGCCTCCCGCTAGGGTGTGTCACCGCACCGCACTGCGATCAGTTCGCCTCCCGCTATGGTGTGTCACCGCACCGCACTGCGATCAGTTCGCCTCCCGCTATGGTGTGTCACCGCACCGCACTGCGATCAGTTCGCCTCCCGCTATGGTGTGTCACCGCACCGCACTGCGATCAGTTCGCCTCCCGCTATGGTGTGTCACCGCACCGCACTGCGATCAGTTCGCCTCCCGCTATGGTGTGTCACCGCACCGCACTGCAATCAGTTCGCCTCCCGCTATGGTGTGTCACCGCACCGCACTGCGATCAGTTCGCCTCCCGCTATGGTGTGTCACCGCACCGCACTGCGATCAGTTCGCCTCCCGCTATGGTGTGTCACCGCACCGCACTGCGATCAGTTCGCCTCCCGCTATGGTGTGTCACCGCACCGCACTGCGATCAGTTCGCCTCCCGCTATGGTGTGTCACCGCACCGCACTGCGATCAGTTCGCCTCCCGCTATGGTGTGTCACCGCACCGCACTGCGATCAGTTCGCCTCCCGCTATGGTGTGTCACCGCACCGCACTGCGATCAGTTCGCCTCCCGCTATGGTGTGTCACCGCACCGCACTGCGATCAGTTCGCCTCCCGCTATGGTGTGTCACCGCACCGCACTGCGATCAGTTCGCCTCCCGCTATGGTGTGTCACCGCACCGCACTGCGATCAGTTCGCCTCCCGCTATGGTGTGTCACCGCACCGCACTGCGATCAGTTCGCCTCCCGCTATGGTGTGTCACCGCACCGCACTGCGATCAGTTCGCCTCCCGCTATGGTGTGTCACCGCACCGCACTGCGATCAGTTCGCCTCCCGCTATGGTGTGTCACCGCACCGCACTGCGATCAGTTCGCCTCCCGCTATGGTGTGTCACCGCACCGCACTGCGATCAGTTCGCCTCCCGCTATGGTGTGTCACCGCACCGCACTGCGATCAGTTCGCCTCCCGCTATGGTGTGTCACCGCACCGCACTGCGATCAAATTGCCACCTTACGCTGGTGCCGCATCGCATGCATTGACAGTGACAGTGCCGTGTTCCCATGCCTCTCAGATGATCTCTGTATCAATAAGTCCTTGTATGCTTTTATTCACTGTCCCTTGGTTGGCACAGGTACCTCACGCGAGTGATGGACGTGGCAACACCAACAGCAGACTGCCTGACTTTCATCCACCAGCTGTTGGCGCCCATGCTGCATGCACATGACAGTGTCCCACCCCCACCCGCCCACCCACCCACCCATCCCTCTCTTGCTCCATCCACTTATGTCCGCCTCTGCTCCGTTTGGCAGGTACCTCACGCGTGTGATGGACGTGGCAATGCCAACAGCCGACTGCCTCACTCTCATTCACCAGCTGCTGGCGCCGGTGCTGCATGCACATGACAGTGACGGCAGCAGTGTGACCAAACAGGAGGTGAGTGATCCCACATGAGTGTGACTGAATAGGAGAGGCAGCAGCATGGCTGGGGATCATACACGACTGTCGTGTATAAAGGTTATTTTGAGACGTCTCAAAGAGGGTCATACACAACTGGCGTCTCATCCACAATGCCGCTCTAATATACGTCACCTCCCGCTTCGCTTCTCGTCTCCTCGCCTCCCCTTCCCTTCTCTCCCTGCAGGCGCGCTTGTTAGCAGTCATTGAGGAGAGAGTGGGCGATCTCCTTCAGCTCACCTTCGAGAACTACAAGTCGCTCAGCGAGTCTGCCCCCTCAGACATCGCCCGACTGTGCTGGCACCACCACTCACCACGCGGCACCCCTCTGTTCTCCTCCCCATCGCCCTTTCCCCACCCCAGGCCCGCATGCTAGCAGATATGGAGGAGAGAGTGGGCGATCTCCTCCAGCCCACCTTCGAGAACTACAAGTCGCTCAGCGAGTCTGCCCCTTCAGGCATCGCCGACTCCTCCCGTTCCGCCGCCCACCTCTGTGCCTCCCTGGGGCGATCGCTGGTGGGGGCAGAGGCGGGTCTTCTTCATGCATTGCCGATCGTGCCAGCACCATCACCCACCGCTTTGCACCTCTCTGTTTTACCCCAAAACTGCAGGCGCGCATGCTAGCAGACATGGAGGAAAGAGTAGGAGATCTGCTTCAGCTCACCTTCGAGAACTACAAGTCTCTCAGCGAGTCTGCCCCTTCAGGCATCGCCGACTCCTCCCGTTCCGCCGCCCACCTCTGTGCCTCCCTGGGGCGATCGCTGGTGGGGGCAGAGGCGGCAGCGCTGGTGGCACCAGCCATTCCCCCCGCGGTGCACCTGTTTGGGCTGCTGAACGACCTGCTGCTGCCAGAGGTGCAGCAGCAGTTCTGCGGATACCTGCAGGTGAGAGGAGAGGGGGGGAGGGAGGGTGATCACTGGTTGCAGGTGAGATGGGAGGTTTTACTGGTGGCGCGGATGATTCCCCCCGCGGTGCACCTGTTTGGGCTGCTGAACGACCTGCTGATGCCAGAGGTGCAGCAGCAGTTCTGCGGATACCTGCAGGTGAGATTTGTGGGGGGGTTACAGGGAACAGTGGTGTGTGTGTGTAAGGCCGGGGTAAGGCACTGAGCTGATCTCTAGCCGGGGCAGAGACAGTGGCAGCAGCGCTGGTGGCGCCGGCCATTCCCCCTGCGGTGCACCTGTTTGGGCTGCTGAACGACCTGCTGCTGCCAGAGGTGCAGCAGCAGTTCTGCGGATACCTGCAGGTGAGAGGAGAGGGGGTTTTTGAAAGTGAAAACAGACGTGTATACATTAACAGGTCATCCTCCCTCCTCTTTCCTCCCAACTCTCTCCTCCCCCCTCCCTTCTTACTTCTCTCCCCCACAGCCCTATCCAACTCTCTTTCCTTTCAGGAATTTTCAAAAGTATCGCCAAACAGACAGCAGCGCTGCAGCACCAATGGCACGTTCTGCCTTGTTGGTCCCGTCCCGCTGGCATCCCACATTCTCCTTGCCTCCCCCAGCTCCCCACCCCCCTTCCACCCCGCCTCCACCCCACTCCCTCCCCACTCAGACAGCAGCAAGGCAGCGGTGCCGGCAGCTCCTGCCAGAGACAGACAGGTACGTTAATGGCACGTCCTGCCGACTGCCCTAACCTTCTCACCCCGTCCCTTTCCTCTCCCAATTCTATTCCCCTCTCTCTTACCCCCTCCTCCCCCACACTCTCTCCAAACAGACAGCAGCGTGACGACGGTGCAGACAGCACCTGTCAGAGACTGACGAATACGAACGGCACGTTCTGCCTTGTTAGTCCCATCCCGCTCGCATCCCACATTCTCCTTGCCTCCCCCCCACCCCCACCCCCACCCCCCACCCCCCCCCCCCCACCCCGCCTCCACCCCGCGCCCTCCCCACACAGACAGCAGCGCGGCGGCGGTGCCGACAGCACCTGTCAGAGATGGTCGAATACGTCAACGGCACATTCTGCCTTGTTGGTCCTGCTGGCTTCCAACATCCTCTTTCCATCCTTCTCCCTTCCCCTCTCTTCCCACACAGACAGCAGCACGGCGGCGGTGCCGGCAACACCTGTCAGAGACCGACGAATACGTCAACGGCACGTTTTGCCTTCTTGCTTGCCCTTACCCACCTTCTCCCTTCTCCTCTCCCAATCCTCTACCCTTCCACTCCCTCCCCACACAGACAGCGGCGCGGCAGCGGTGCCGGCAGCACCTGTCAGAGACAGACGAATACGTCAACGGCACATTCTGCCTGCTTGCCTTGCCTTCCCACCTCCCCCATTCTCCTCTTCCTCCCCACTCAGACGGCAGTAAGGCGGCGGTGCTGACAACACTTGTCGGAGACCGACAAATACGTCAACGGCACGTTGTTCCGCCTTTCCCCACACCACTCTCCCCATTCCAGACAGCTGCGCGGCGGCGGTGCCGGCAACACCTGTCAGAGACCGACGAATACGTCAACGGCACGTTCTGCCTTGGCACTGGCAGCAGCAACATGCAAGGGCAGGCACAGGGGCAGGGGCAAGCGGGCATGGGGTGCAGTCCGGGGGGAGGCAGGGGGAGAGGGGGAGGGGGCGCCGGCGGAATGGGGGGAGCAGGCGGGATGGGGAGGGGGGCGATGCGGGGAGGGGAGGGGGGGGATATGGAGGAGCAAAGGGAGGCGTATGGGAGCATGCGACTGGCGTGTGTGGCGATGTGGAGAGAGGTGCAGGCGGATATCGGCATTCACAACCAACACATCCTGCCCAGGTGGGTGGCTGTTTGCGCTTGCTTGTGTGCTTGTGTGTGTGCTGCTGTGCTTGCTACTGTGGGGCTTGTGTGGGGCGGTGCTGGTGTGGCACTGGTGTGCGATTGTGTGTGGCGATGTGGAGAGAGGTGCAGGGCGGATATAGGTAATCACAACCAACACATCCTGCCCAGGTGTGTTGCCCTGGTGTGAGCTTGTGCATGGGGTAGTGCTGCTATGGCGTGAGGATGCAAGTTCCTATGATGTGGAGAGAGGAACATCATAAACTCAAGTTCCTGTGTCGCCATGAATGCCTGTTCCTGCAGACATGAGAATTCTCATCCCATCTCCCTATCCCTATCCCTCCCGCCTCCCAGCATTGTGGACTTGCACGAGTTGACAGCAGGTGTGTACATGGTGGAGCTGCAGAAAGGGCTGGCTCGGCGTGCCTGAACTTCTTGGCTTCCGTTCCCTCCCTCCTTTATCCAGCTTTGTGGACTTACCTGAATTGACAGCTGGCGTGTACATGGTGGAGCTGCAGAGGCGGATTAACCAGTTCCTGCTGGCGGTGCCACCTCAGCACCCGCTGCCACATGTCAAGAACCTGCTGCACGCCACTGCTGACGTGGAGGACAGGCTCATGCTGTGGGGCGTGGGGTGAGTGAAGCATTTGTAGTAGGGATTATCATGGGATGCAGGGTGAGACATCGTGGTTGCACTAGGGTTCAGGCCATGATAGGTGGAGATTTTTTCAGACGAGATCCTCGAGGCAGATGGTCGTCACCGGAAGTGGAGAAAAAAGGGCAATATCTACTACAACGTATTTCACCTCTATCACAACCTGTACGTTGAGAAAACGAATGATATAGCTGGTCTTTTGAAGCGTCAAGAATCGCATGGAGGCTTTTGAAATGAATGGAGCGAGCGTTTCTTGTGTACTTTTCTAGCGCGTTCGCCACGTGTTCAAGCATGTTACGGGATATCGTCAAGGTGGAAAAGGGCAGGCTAGGAAACTAAGGTAGTGGCTATCCTGCTCCTCTCCATCTTGGCGATATCCGCCTCCGTGACATACTTGTACACGTGGGGAATGCGTTAGGGAAGTACAATAAAACGCCCGCTCCATGAATTTGAAAACCCCCATGCGACTCTTGAAGTGTTGAAGACTAGCTTTGGATCACCCATTTTCATGACCTAGAGGCTGTGATGGAGGTAAATTACGCCGTGGTAGAAATGACTCTGCTCTCCCCGCTTGCAGTGGCGACCATCAATTTTGAGAGTTCGCCTTTTTTTTTTTTTTTTTTTTTTTTTTTTGGGTTTCTACTTTTATATTTTCAAGTATCAAAAGCCCTCTGCATTATTAATCTCGACTAACCCATTTTAAAATATATAGTCTCAAGTCGATGCGACCTACCATTCTAAATGGTGTGCCATTGTTGGTTTCCCTTTGTGTTCGCATGCTATCACCTCCTCATCCTATTCCCGTTATCTCCAATCTGCATCTCTTCCCTTCCCATCCTTTTTTTTCCCTTCCCATTCCCGTCGGTATCCAACCCCTCTCTTAGCCTCGTCCCCATTTTAATCTCGAGCAGCAAGGTACCCGGAGGTCTAGATGCAAGGGAGCTGTTCGGAGTGTACGTGGAGGCGTGGATCAGAGAGCGCACCCACACCCTCTCTTGTTTGTGCCTCCCCTTCCCTATCCCATCCCTCTCCCTGCCTTGTTCTCCTTGTTACATCAAGCAGCAAAGTACCCGGAGGTCTAGACGCAAGGGAGTTGTTCGGAGTGTACGTGGAGGCATGGATCAGAGAGCGCACCCACACTCTCATGGACCTCTGCCGAGCTCCCAAGGTGTGTGCTGCTCCCAAGGCAAGGTGTGTGCTGCTCCCAAGGCAAGGTGTGTGCTGCTCCCAAGGCAAGGTGTGTGCTGCTCCCAAGACAAGGTGTGTGCTGCTCCCAAGGCAAGGTGTGTGCTGCTCCCAAGACAAGGTGTGTGCTGCTCCCTCCTAGTCTCGCCTTGCTCCCCATCTATTCGGAGTGTACGTGGATGCATGGATCAGGGAGCGCACTAACACTCTCATGGACGTCTGCCGAGCTCCCAAGGTGTGTTTTGTGCTGCCCCTTCCTACTCTCCACTTGCTCCCTCTTTTGTTTCATTGTGGTCCTCTTCCTCCCCCACCTCACTCTCCTCGCCATCTCTGCCTCCCCCTCCCCTCCCCCCTCCTCCCCCTCCTCCCCCTCCTCCCCCTCCTCCCCCTCCTCCCCCTCCTCCCCCTCCTCCCCCTCCTCCCCCTCCTCCCCCTCCTCCCCCTCCTCCCCCTCCTCCCCCTCCTCCCCCTCCTCCCCTCCCCCTCCTCCCCCCTCCTCCCCCTCCTCCCCCTCCTCCCCCTCCTCCCCCTCCTCCCCCTCCTCCCCCTCCTCCCCTCCTCCCCCTCCTCCCCCTCCCCCCTCCTCCCCCCCCCTCCTCCCCCTCCTCCCCCTCCTCCCCCTCCTCCCCCTCCTCCCCCTCCTCCCCCTCCTCCCCCTCCTCCCCCTCCTCCTCCTCCTCCTCCTCCCCCTCCTCCCCCTCCTCCCCCTCCTCCCCCTCCTCCCCCTCCTCCCCTCCTCCCCCTCCTCCCCCCCTCCTCCCCCTCCTCCCCCTCCTCCCCCTCCTCCCCTCCTCCCCCTCCCCCTCCTCCCCCTCCCCCCCTCCTCCCCCTCCTCCCCCTCCTCCCCCTCCCCCGCTCCCCTCCTCCCCCTCCTCCCCTCCTCCCCCTCCTCTCCGCCTCCTCCTCCCCCCCCCTCCCCCTCCTCCCCCTCCCCCCTCCTCCCCCTCCTCCCCCTCCTCCCCCTCCTCCCCCCTCCCCCTCCTCCTCCCCCTCCTCCCCCTCCTCCCCCTCCTCCCCCTCCTCCCCTCTCCCCCTCCTCCCCCTCCTCCTCCCCCTCCTCCTCCCCCTCCTCCTCCCCCTCCTCCCCTCCCCCCCTCCTCCCCCTCCTCCCCTCCTCCCCCTCCTCCCCCTCCTCCCCCCCTCCCCGCCTCCCTCCTCCTCCCTCCTCCTCCTCCTCCTCCTCCTCCTCCTCCTCCTCCTCCTCCTCCTCTCCTCCCCCCTCCCCCCCCCTCCTCCTCATCTCTTTCCTCATCCTCCTCCTCCTCTCCTCCTCCTCCTCTCCGTCCTCTCCCTCCTCTCCCCCCTCTTCCTCCTCTCGTTCTTCTTCCTTCTCTTGCCCCTCTTGCTCCTCCTGCTCTTCCGTCCCGGGGCTGTATACATGTTCAACCTCCATAAATTTCTTTACTAGGATTCCCAAATCCCTTCCATTCCATCCTCCCTTGCCTCTCAACATACCTTTCTCAACAGTGAGCGCCGCTAGCTCCCATCCCATGTTAGACCGTAAGTCGACGCCACCCTTCAAGAAAGGGGTGTACGGAATCGCCAACAGCCTGCTCATGTCCCCCCCCCCCCTTCCCACTCCCCCAACAGTGGGTAGTTCTGGCTTCCATGTTAGACCGTAACTCCACGTCACTCTTCAAGGGGGAGGGGTACGGAATTGTCAACAGCCTGCTAATACCACCATCCTCTCTCCCCCGTCTTCTGACTCTCCTTACAGTGGGCGGTGCTGGCCCCAATGTCGGATCGCAACGCCACGTCTCCCTTCATGGAGGAGGTGTACGGGGCCATCAACAGCCTGCTAGATGAGCTCGACTCCGTGCTTGGGAGGTGGCCGCAGTACACTCTGCTGGTGGAGGAGGTGAGGGTTTGATGGGACAGGTTAGGATACCATTGCAGGCTGTGTGTGACGTGGAGCGAGCAGCTATCTCATCCCTAGCATCCTACTTCCGAAATTTCCTTCTCCTCCTCACATGCTTGTTGTGTGTCTCTTTATGATCCCTGTCGTCCCTGCTTCACCATTTGCAGGCGGTGTGTGACGTGGAGAGAGCAGCCATCGCATCCCTCGCCTCTCACTTTCAGAACTTCCTTCTCCTCCTCAACACGCCCTCCTCCTCCTCCGCCCCCTCCGCCACCTCCACCAAAAAGAAGCTTCTCAGCATGCTGTCCCGCCGCCGCCCCACACTCGCGTATCAAGTGCCCATAGAGGTGAGTTCGTGCCCCATAGGGGTGAGTGGATGAGCTTACACCCCGGTGCGTGTTGCTGTGAGGTCATTGGGAGTGAAGCTTCTCAACATGCTGTCAAGCCGCCGCCCCACACTCGCCAATCAAGTGCCCATAGAGGTGAGCTTCCACTGCGGTGTGCTTTGCTGTGATGCATGTGCCACTGCACCGAACCGACTGCTCTTTCCTCCACCTCCACCAAAAAGAAGGCTTCTCAGGATGCTGTCCCGCCGCTGCCCCACACTCGCATATCAAGTACCTATAGAGGTGAGTGGTTGAGCCAACCGCAAGTGCCCATAGTGGTGACCTTATAAATTCCATCAACTGCTCCTTTCTCCACCTCCACAAAGAGGAAGCTTCTCAGCCCTTTCTTCCTGCCCCTTCTTTTCGCGTGGTCATTTCGTCTCACACAATCCTTTCACTCACTTCCCTCCCAATCTCTCCCCCCTCCCCCTTCCCCTCAGCTGGGAGTGTATCTCAACACCATCAAGAGAATGCTTGAAACCCTCCGACCAACAGTGGAGCTAAGGATGCTGAAGTGGGTCGCCAACACCCCCCCTGTGTCCGACATACCGCCTTCCACTCTCCTTCCCCCGTGCCCCTGAGCCTCGTTTCCCCTCACCCCTTCCCCCCCGTTCCCTTGCCCCCTTCCCCTTCCCCTCAGCTGGGCGTCTATCTCAACACCATCAAGCGAATGCTTGAAACCCTCCGACCGACAGTGGAGCTCAGAATGCGCAAGTGGGTGGCCAACACTCCCCCCGCCTCCCTCATCCGCCCTCCCCAGCGCAACCTCCCCCCACCCAAGCGCCCCTCTGGCGGGGGCAGTGCTGCTGGCGCTGCCGCTGCTGCTGCTGCCATGCTGGGGGCCGCGGCTAAGAGAGTGGCTGCTGCTGCTGCTGGGGGAGGGGGAGCGGGAGGTGGAGGGGGAGGGGGATTGGGGGGAGCTGGTGTAGGGGGACAGGGGGGAATGGGGGGAGGCGCTGGTGGGGGGAGTGGGTGGGGGGAGGCTGGAGCAGGGAGGGGGAGGGGGCAGGGAGGCGGAGTGGCGGAGGCAGGGGGGATGGGGGGAGCAGGGGGGGCAGGGGGAGCAGGGGCAGGGGGCGTGGCGGGGGGGAGGGAGGTGCTATTCGGGGAGATGCTGAGTGAAGTGACGGTGGAACTGAGGACGACCTACAGGGCGACATTGCAAGGCGTTGTGGAGAAACTATACGAGAATGTGAGTAAAGCAGGGGTGCTCTCAGAGGAGGTGCTGTTTGGGGAGATGCTGAGTGAAGTGACAGTGGAGCTCAGGACAACGTACAGGGCGACACTGCAAGGCGTGGTGGAGAAATTATATGAGAATGTAAGCATGGAGGGGGGGAGAGGGGAGGTGTTATCTGCAATACTGAAGCTTATGTTGAAGTAGGGGCATTTGTCTGGAAGCCAGAAATCATGCTTCCTGATTCTCTAGTTCTCTCCGTCTCCTCGCTCCCCTCCATTCGCTTGCCTCCCGTCCATTCCCTCCTCCTCCTCTCCCCTGCAGATTCAGCTGGGCCGAACCACATCACTGAAGCGAGTGCTCAAGGAAGTGAATTCCTTTAAAATACGCCCTTTCTTTCCCTCCCCTCCATCCCTTCGCTCCGCTCCTCCCCCTCTCCAAACCCATTTGGGCCGAACCACATCACTGAAGCGGGTTCTCAAGGAGGTGCATTCCACTTCTACACATTCTAAACACGTTCATTGTTTCAACTCGCTTCCATCTCCTCCCTCCCGTCTCACCTGCAGACCCAGCTTGGTCGAACCACGTCATTGAAGCGAGTGCTCAAGGAGGTGCGGCCTCAGGCAGGCGACGACATGACGTCCAAGCTGCAGCCACTGTCCGCGCTCATTGGCTCGCTGCTCGCGCAGGTGAGCCCGACTGCTACTCCCTTGCTCGCACTCACTTTCCCCATAACCCAAGGCATGCAGGCGACCACATGACGTTCAAGTCATAATTTAGAATTCTCATGTGCTCGTGCAGCCTCTGACTGTCCTCAATTCAACAGATTGCTGCTGGCCTGGGTGGGAGTTCAGACACACCCTCTTCTTGTCCCTCTTCAATGCCATTTTCACCCACCTGCCCATCAGGCTGATGCAGTGCTGCGGCAGCCTTGTGTTCGCGGGGACAGCAAGAGGCCTGTTGACTCGCCTCCTCTCTTCGCCCAACCATTCCCCTCTTCCTCACACCCTCCTCCCATCCCATCCCCCTAACCAGGCTGATGCAGTGCTGAGCAGCCGGCTGTTTGTGGGCACGGCAAGGGGCCTGTTGATCCATCGCACCACCTTCCCCTCCCCCCCCTCTCCCCCACGCTGTCCCTTTCCCCCCCTTCCTTTTTTCCCGTCCCACCACGCTGACGCAGTGCTGAGCAGCCGTGTGTTTGTGTGCACGGCGAGGGGCCTGTGGGACCGGCACGAAAGGGAGGTGCTGCATTTCTAGCTCCTGTTCCTTCTCCCTTGCCCCCTCTCTTTTCCCCCCTCCCATCAGGCTGATGCAGTGCTGAGCAGCTGGGTGTTTGTGGGCACAGAGAGGGAGGTGCTGCACTGCCGTACCCTCTCCCGTCTCCTTTCCCCACCTCCCTTGTTCCCCCGTCCCGTCAGGCTGACGCGGCACTGGTTAACAGAGTGTGTGTGCGCACAGCAAGGCGCCTACTGAGTCATGCCCCTCCCCGTTTCCCCCACAATTCCCCCCCACTTCTCCCTTCCCCCCATCCGGCTGATGCAGGGCTGAGCAGCCGTGTGTTCGTGGGCACTGCTAGGGCCCTGCTGGTTCATTTCCTCATCTCACCCAACCTTTTCCCCCTCCTTCCCACCCTCCTAACCAGGCTGATGCAGTGTTGAGCAGCCGTGTCTTCGTGGGGACAGCGAGGGGCCTGTGGGACCGGCATGGGCGGGAGGTGCTGCACTTCCTGGAGAAGAGGAGAGAGGGGGTATCGTGGTTCAAGAGTGCCTCCGCTGCTATCACGCTCGATGTAAGCACACCTTCTGTGTCCCTTGATATAGATCATCCCTCTCAATGTGAACATGAGTGTGAAGAAGCCTGGCTGTAGGGCCCTGGCAAAGCAGCGAGGGGCCTGTGGGACCGGCATGGGAGAGAGGTGCTGCACTTCCTGGAGAAGCGGAGAGAGGGTGTGTCGTGGTTCAAGAGTGCTTCTGCTGCTATCACATTCGATGTAAGCACAACCTGATTTTGATTCCACAGTCCCACAGATTTCAAAGCCCCACGCGTTCATAGCCCCACGCATTCATAGCCCCACACATATAGCCTCGCTTGACATCCCAGTACTTGCAGCCTTCCTTCAAACCCACGTTCTTTTCTCATTGTGTCAGCTCCGACCACTTCCCCGCTCCCACCCGTTTCCCCGCTCCCACCCATTTCCCCGCTCCCACCCATTCCCCTTTCAGATGCTGGACAATCTATTCACCCAGCAGAGGCAGCGTTTGCAGGGCCACGCCCTCATGGAGAGGGACCTAATGCCGCCTCGTGTTGCCCACCCACAGCCACTCATCCCACAACCCCCCTCCCCTTTTCCTCCTTTTCCCTCCCACCCACACCCCCCACAGACTCTCGATAACATGTTCACCCAGCAGATGCAGCGCCTGCAGGGCCACGCGTTCATGGAGGGCCATTCTCTTTGAGACGTCTCAAAAATAATCTTTTTACACGTCGCCTGCAGGGTCACGCGTTCATGGAGGGCCATTCTCTCATGGAGAGGGATTTGGAGCCGCCATGTGCTGCCTTACCACATCTCCCCACCCCACAGCCTCAACTCACATCCCGTGACCCACCCCCCCCCCCCCCTCCTCCCCCCATCAGACGCTGGACAATCTGTTCACCCAGCAGATGCAGCGCTTGCAGGGCCACTCTCTCATGGAGAGGGACCTGGAGCCGCCTCGAGCCATCTGCGACGCACGGGGGGTGCTGTCTAAGGGAGGTGCTCCTGCCGCCACTGCTAGGGTGCACGACTCGCTCTCTCTATACTAGGGGACACATCTCCTTTTTCCCCTACTGACTTAGGTTGACAGCCTTACAGACTTTTGAGACGTCTCAAGAGTTGAATTCACTTGACAGCCATTGCACATGAGGCAAAGACGCGCCATTGCATGTCATCACATGCCACGCGCTGATGGAGTGCAACTTGGAGCCGCCGCGAGCGATCTGCAATGGCGGGGTTGTGCTGTCTGAGGGGGACCGCTGTTGCTGCTGCTGCTACTGCCAGAGAGCACGTCTCCCTCTACCAACGTCAGTGCTCCTGCAGGCTAATCAGCACGACTCACGCTCCCTCCCCTCTAACTGGGGGGCATGACCCGTGCTCCCTCTCTCGATGCTCATACGGTTACTCACTCCTGAAAGTTGAGCTGAGGTTACAATGCCGTTACAGCTTCATGCCGTTACTCATCTCACCTGCATTCGACGTGAGGGATTGAATGCCGCCACTTCCTCCTATTTGTTGCACCAATAGGGTGCGTTATGATTAATACAGTAGGCGCCTAGCAGCTCCTCTGAGGTGCATAGAAAAATCTGGTTATGATCCCCGTGTGATGCCTGTGGGGTTTTCTCTGAGGGTGCACGATTGCACTCCATGTAGCAACTACAGTAGACATTGGTAGGACCTTAGGTAGGTAGGGCCCTCTCACTGAAAGGGCCTACACTTGGTATTGAGTGGTTTGTTACCGTAGCTGGCACACTTCGCAACTCTACATTACACGTGCTGTATGCCATGCATGACCTATTGAAGTACCCTACCAGAATTTCTTCTGCAGCCTCCACTTTTATGCACAATAGGCTATTTGCACAATAACATTAAGCATACCAATAAAATCAAGCAAGACACAACGAAGGGTGACATTTTCGGCTTGAGATGAAGTGCATCCAGTCCAGGCTCCAAACACAGACGCATGCTGGTGGTAACCAGCATGACCCGAATGCCCCTCGTTCGTGTGATTATACGTGTGTGTGGTTGTGGTGGTGGAAGGGGTAAGTGATAATGCTCACAGCAGTCCCTTCGTGTCACTCAGTGGTGGTGGCTCAGCATGGTGCCAGCTGTGATAGTATCAGCATGCTCCGGTGCAAACACAGAACCTGCATGCCAGTGATGCCCTAATCGCCCTTCATGCACGTGTGGGTGGTCGTGGTGGTGAAAGAGGTGCCTTGACAGACTCAGTGGTGGTGGCTCAGCATGGTGCCAGCTGTAATGATGTCTGTATGCCCCGGTGCAAACACAGGCGCGTGCTGGTGGTGCCTCAAACACGTCCCCCTCCCAAGTGTCCTTCATGCCCTAGTAATGGCTTCATGTCACTCAGTGGTGGTGGCTCAGCATGGTGCCAGCTGTGATGATGTCTGTATGCCCCGGTGCAAACACAGAAGCCGCATGCCCTGCATGCCCGTGTGAGTGGTGCCCATGTGGGTGGTCGTGGTGGTGAAAGAGGTGAGTGAGAATGCCCACGGCGCACAGGATCACACCCACCACCAGCTTCTCATATCGCTCCAACCACCCGAACTTCACCTGCAGTGAAACATGGGGCGACAGATGGGAGGTGTTGGGGAAAGCATGACAACCTGCCTTACTAGCTGCAAAGAGGCCCCCTAGCAGGAGAAAGTGTAAGGACCATGCATTGGCGTTGAAAGCATGGCAACCCATCAATAGCATATCCCACTCTCACATGTGAAGCCCCATAAAAGGAGGGGGAGACGCGGGCGAGCATGACGAACAGCGTGCAGGCGAGCAGCACTGCCACTGCAGTCGCCATCCAGCAGGGAGCGTCATACACAGTTCAGCTCATCACTCTCTCACCTGTGAGGCTCCGTAGAAGGAGAGTGCGACAAGTGTGAGCATGACAAAGAGCGTGCAGGCGAGCAGCACAGCCACTGCGATCGCCATCGTTCCCAGCGACGCGTCACTGATGGCCAGAAACACCGGGAGGGTCGTGGCACAGGGGGAGAGCGCCGGCACCAGCACCAACCCCAGCACCGCTATCCGCTCCATCCCCTCGGGTTTCCCACTCGCGTTCGCGCTTTTCGACGAAGCAGCAGCAGAGCCACCAGGGGAGGAGGTTCCAGTGGCAGCAGCAGTGGCGGCGGCAGCAGCAGCCATGGTTGTTGGCAGGTGGGAGTGCGCGTGGCAGTGGGAGTGGGAGGGTTTCCCGCGGGTGAGGAGGAAGAGGGCTATGTAGCAGGCGCCGAGGAGGAGCAGGAGGAGGGACGCGATGGCTTCTACTGCCTCCTCGCCTGCTAGTGTGTGGGCCATGGTGACTGCGGTGAATCCGAGGATGGACGTGGATAGCACGTGCAGGAATGCTCCTAGTGCCGCTGCAGGGGAGGCAGAGGGGGAGGGGAGGAGGGGGCCAAAACAGGAGGGGAGAGTCAGTGTGTGTGGGGATGGAGATAGCGAAAGCGGGTGTGTGCCATGGTGACTGCGGTGAAGCCCAGGATGGACGTGGATAGCACGTGCAGGAATGCTCCCAGTGCGGCTGTGAGGGAAATGGGAGACGGAGGGAGGGAGAGAGGGGGGGCGGGGGGTGGGGGAAGAAAAGGGCTAAGGTTTGGGCCATGGTGACTGCTGTGAATCCCAGGATGGACGTGGATAGCCCGTGCAGGAATGCCCCTAGTGCCGCTGCAGGGGAGGAAGGGGGGTTGAAGGGAGGGAAAGGGGAGGAAGAAGGAGGCGAGGGTCAGGGGGAAGGGTGTGGTTACAGGGAAAGACGGTGTGTGCCATGGTGACTGCGGTGAAGCCGAGGATGGATGTGGATTGCACGTGCAGGAATGCACCTAGTGCCGCTGCAGGGGGAGGAGAGGGGGAGGGAGAGAGGGAGAGGTGGGGGGATGGGAGGGGAGAGAAGGGGAGGGGAGCAGGAGGTGATGGTTATGGGGAAGCGGGTTTGTGTTCGTGCCATGGTGACTGCGGTGAATCCCAGGATGGACGTGGATAGCACGTGCAGGAATGCTCCCAGCGCCGCTGCAGGGAGGAGGGAAGGGGTAGGGGGGGGATGGGGGAGGAAGGAGGAAGGTAAAGCAGGAGGGTCAGGGGGAGGCTAGGGCTGATAGACCATGGACCCACCATGGCCAGAGGCATGGCTCAAATTTAGCTAGTGGCTGTGAGTAGGGTTTCGTCCATGGTTACCGATGCAGCCACAGTCAAAGCCCGGAGCGCACATTTGAATCGTATCTGCAGTCCAGGGCAGACCAGGGCAATGCGACAATGGCACACGGAATGCGGACTGTGTAAAGTGGTACTCGTGAAGACATGGCCAGAAGGCTATTTGCTCCAGCTTGTTACAGGGTCGGGAACGCGCCTTGCGATTGGATGAAGAAAACATTCCCCATGTATCGAGAGCATTCGAACATGCTATAGTGTGGCTACGAACGAACGGAGTTGACTGTATGGTCCGATTCCGCACGCGTTCGCGTCACTGAACGGCAGCCTATGCGCATCAAGACGTTGCCACGAATCTCATGGTTAGAAAACCACGGAAAGCATCGGAGAAATGCTTGCTGATGGAGATCGATTGGCGGATAATCCAAATCTGCTCGCATCCCGCTGTGAGATTTTTCAGAGCTGAAAGCGTTTTGTACGAATGGAGATGATCTGAAGGATGTTTAGAATGTGCTCGCAATTGGCTGTGAGATGTCTCAGAATTGAAAGCGTTCCTTACTGATGGATAGCGTCTGATGGATGGTCCATTTCTGGACGCGTCCCACGACGCTGAACGGCAGCCAGTGCGTGGGGATGAGCGAGTGTACAAGCGACACCGTCGCGATGCCGCCGAACGTCGATAGGTTCGCCGCCGTCACCGCCATGATGGCTCTTTCGCTGCTACGTGCGACGCTCGCTGCTACGTGCGACGCTCGCTGCTACGCGCGCCGCTCGCGGGACAATCGCGGGACGCACGCGAGGCACTCGCCCGAGACTCGCAGGAGGAGTTCGAGCCTCGCGGGGTGGTCAGTGGAAGACGCAGTGTCTATCAGAGACCCCAAAAACATTCATAAGGAAATCAGAGGATTTAGAGTTTGCCGAAATAGCTGGCATTGGGAACTCCAATGGTGATGTTTCTGTTACATGCAGAGAATTGTTTCGTCAGATTGGTTTCTGGTGAGATCAGGGTTCGCACAATGTCGTAATTCGTTTGGGTTCGTTTGCGGCAGTCAGTGCTTGCAAGCTCGATTCTAGGCTTCGTCAGACTCTAGGTTACCAAACTTTTCGTGAGGGATTTCAGAACGCCATACGCGATATACAATGAACCGATCACGACTTGTACCGGATTTCACTAAATTCCTCTGTTGAAACTATGTGGTTTCGCTTAGGCATGTCATGTCTTGTGGGGTGATCTCAAACAAATTATCTCCAATGCCCAGAATTTTACCAGCATCATCAAACACCAACTAGATTTGCACACGAATAGCATGCTTCTCAACTGGGTGGTGGTGGTATGCCATAGCTGGCAGTCAGCAGTGTCACCACCGTCACTAACTTGCACTTGCTGGTACAAGCAGTACTGCTAAAATAGATACTACACATTCACATAATATCATCCACTAGCTCCCTTCCATGCCAGTCTCAGACCCGTATGCCATGACTACACGGTGCACCCAAGGTCGACCGCGAAGGCACCCCTGGTGGGTGAAACAGGAAACAAAAACAAGGGGAGGAGCAGAGGGAAGGGGAGGGGAAGGGAAGGGATTGTGCGGGGTGGTGGTGGGGAGGGAGACGGTGGGAGAAGGAAGGACAGTCAAGAAGACAGAATGCACAGCAGCTATGAATAAAAGCTACTGCATAGCAGCACTTCCAAGAATTGTTACAGGTGTGAGGAGTTACCTCTTGGTGTGTTTGTAGAATGGCCTGGCTTTATCGAAGGCCCAGATCATGTTGTTGATAACGCCCGCATCGTAAGACACGGCCTGAGGTACCAACCCGCCCTTGCCCATGCGAGTGAACCTGAAATATACCGACAGAGGCACAGAATCAGAGCGAGCAGGATGGAAGGCGCTTTTGAGTCGACTCAGCCTGCGGTACCGACCCGCCCTTGCCCATGCGAGTGAACCTGAAACGCATTGACAGAGGCACAGAATCAGAACGAGCAGGATGGAATGCCTCAGTTACTACCAGAACCCGCCGAAACTACTAGTTTAGTAAACCCGGAACTTGACATAGCGCAAGGGCGGATAATTGTCGCGACGCAACGAGATCGCGTGTACCCATCAATCGCCGAGCTTACTTGACAACCGTGCCACCAACGCCCCGGATGATAAATACATCCAAGCGGATCACGCCATGTTTTAAGTCGACTCACCACCAAAATTACTTGACAACCGTGCCACCAACGCCCCGCAAGATGGATACATTGGAGAGCGTCAAGCCAACAGCCTTTGAGTACGCCCTTGACGTATTGTTGGTGAACGAGTATGCGAGCACGTCTTGCGTGTTGCCCGTGAACCGCGACACGTGGTTCCCCACGACCACGTCGGACGGAAACATTTTGCCGACCCTGCCCGTCCAGCCCACGGAAATCCAGCCCGACCCGGCTCTCTTGTCCTCTAGCGCCGCGATGATTCCGTCCTTGGCCGCGGTGATGTTCCAATGGAAGAACAGGCTGCGGCACAAGCAGACGGGTGGGGGGTGGTAGTAGGGTGGGGAGTGGGACGGTGAGGAGATGCAACTCGAGCGCCGCGATGATTCCGTCCTTGGCCGCGGTGATGTTCCAGTGGAAGAACAGGCTGGTAGACGCAGACGGGTGGGGAGCATGGAAACCGAGAATGAGGGAGGAGAACTACTAGTGGTGACTCGAGCGCCGCGATGATTCCGTCCTTGGCTGCAGTGATGTTCCAGTGGAAGAAAAGGCTGGAGTTACACGTGTCAAACATTATATATGTTGTGTTTGTTTAGGCTACAGTGGGTTAGCCTATAGGGGGTACACAATTCTAGGGTTAGGTACTTGTACTGATTTCACTGTTAGTTCAATCATTCCTGTCCGTTCATTCTGACATGGTTTCAGAGCAGGTCCTTCGCTAGGACCGTTTTTTTTAGGGCCCACCGCTACCTACCTACCTACCTACCTACCTGCGCCCTAGGGCGCCTCGTTTTTCACGGCCCCCTAAGGCCCCGCGACCCGCGACCCGCCCCTTAGCGACCCGCGCGCCGCCCCTTAAGGCCCCGTCGGCCCACGCGCCCGCCCCTTACGGCCCCGCGCTCGCCCCTTACGGCCCCGTCGGCCCCGCACTCGCCTCCCTAGAGGCCCCCGTCGGCCCCGTGCTCGCCCATAGAGGCCCCTTACGGCCCCGCGCTCGCCCCTTACGGCCCCGTCGGCCCCGCGCTCGCCCCTTACGGCCCCGTCGGCCCCGCGCTCGCCTCCCTAGAGGCCCCCCGTCGGCCCCGCGCTTGCCCTTAGAGGCCCCTTACGGCCCCGCGCTCGCCCCTAGAGGCCCCGAACGGCCCGCGCTTGCCCATAGAGGCCCCGAACGGCCCGCGACCGCCACAGCCCCTCCAGGACCGAGCCGAGCCACGCGACCTATGGCTACTCCTCCTGTACTCGCTTTCGATGCTGAGGGCCGCCCAGTGAAGTTCGACACCTGGCTCGATGACCTCCACCTCTTCCTACAGCTCACTGCCAAGGAGGACATTTCACTGTACGATCACGCCCTAGGCCATGCTACTGCCCCTCCTTCCACTGCTGACAGCACTCAGCGCTCACAGTGGCAGACTCGTGACGCCCACGCTCGCTTTGCCATTCGCAACTCCCTGCCGCTAGATGAGCGCGAGCACTTTGGCCAGCACAAAACTGCTAAGGACCTGTACACTGCTGTCGTCGCTCGTTACTCCTCACCTGCTTCTGCCGCACTAGGCCGCCTCTCACTCCCCTACCTGTTCCCCGACCTGGCCTCCTTTCACACAGTTGCTGACCTCATCACCCACCTCAAGACTAGTGAGGCCCGCTTCCGCGCTGCTATGCCTGACGAGTTCCTTGCTAGCAACCCCCCTCCGCTCTGGCTCACTCTCTACCACATCGTCACCCGCCTCCCTGACTCTCTGCGCGCAGTCAGGGATCACTTTCTAGCTCGCTGCCCCACTGAGCTCACCATTGCCCTCCTCGAGAAGGAACTACTTGCAGCTGAGGCGAGCATCGTCGCTGTAGGTGCCTCTCGTGGCGAGCCCCGCACCCCCTTCTTTGAGGGGTGTTCCCCTTCCCCCCTTCTCCCCTCTGTCGCCTCTGCTGCTGCTGTCGACCTCCTTGGTGCTGAGAAGGTCGGGACCGCGTCTGCTTCGAGCGGGCGCCGCAGGAACAAAGGGGGCAAGGGTGGAGGTGGCGGCGGGGGAGGCGGGGGTGGAGGCGGTGGGAGTGGAGGAGGGGCTGGAGAGGCTAGTGGCGGCAGTGGGGGTGGTGACGGCAGCGGCGGGGGCGGTGGCAGGGGCGGGGGCGGCAGCGGGGGCGGAGGTGGTCGTGGCAGCGGCAGAGGAGGAGGTGGTCGAGGAGGTGGCGGCGGCGGTGGTGGTCGTGGAGGAGCTGGCGGTGGTCTGAGCCAGCAGCACACTCCGTCGCTCCAGGAGGCCCGTGAGTGGTATTCCCAGCGCCCGGGGGCGCGTGGCTTTAGCTGCACGTACGTCATCCGCACTGGTGACCGCACTGGTCAGACGTGTGGGAGGCCGCACCCCACGCACCGCTGTTTCTCGCGCCTTGACGACGCTTGGCGCGCTCAGTTCCCTGACGGCGGTGAGCTGCCCCGCTGGCTTGATTTGGAGAGGAAGGGAGTTGATATCTGGGCTCTAGACTTTGATGCTATTCTCACTGCCATGTATGCGATGTTTACTAGTGGAGAGGGTGCTCAGTACTTGCGTGTTCCGCCCGACCCGGGCATTCTGACCAGTGAGGCTGCTGCTCTAGGTGCTAGTGAGGCTGCCACT